TTTGTTGTTGTTGTTGCAATAAATTCGAGGGCATAATAATTGCATTAAAATATTAGTCGTGAAATTGTTATTTATAGCCTTCCACAGTTCCACTTGCATATTCCTACAGTAGTGTGTTATCCATAAACCCTAATTCTTCTAACTACTCTCTCAACCTAATCCACTGTCACTGAGCGTTCAAGCTAAAGATCAAATGGAGATGATGCCTATGATAATGGAGCTAGATGAGCTTCCGGAACAGTTTTCTCTTCCTTTCCAAGATCTTTCCGACTCACCACTCATGGAATTCTCCGGCGGAAGCTACACCAGCAACCACCCCTCCCCACCACCACAACCACAGTTCATGTATCGTAACCAACTACCTGTAATTCTTCCATCGCCACAAATCAGGACGTTACGCGAATTTCCACGATGCAGCTGGTTTCAGCAGAAGCCGGACTCGGTAGAGGCCATGAGGGAGATGATATTCCGGATGGCGGCGTTGCAGCCAGTTCAGATAGACCCGGAGTCTGTCAAGCCACCAAAGAGACGGAACGTGAAGATATCAAAGGACCCACAGAGTGTGGCTGCGAGGCACCGGAGGGAGAGGATCAGCGAGAGGATTAGGATATTGCAGAGATTAGTTCCCGGAGGTACTAAAATGGACACAGCGTCGATGTTAGATGAGGCTGCTCATTACATGAAATTCTTGAAAAAACAAGTGCAATCATTGGAACAAGCTGCAGCAGCCGGTGGTGGTGGTGGCGGTATGCCAACAAAAACATCACCACTTCCGGGGTTGAACGTTATTGGCACCACCACCACCATGAACAATCACGGTACGAATAATCACTCTAATTTTGTTCGAGCCTGTGGTCAGCCTAGTACTCAAGCTTCTCATACGGTAGGTTCTATGGAGTTGCTTAGGTAATTCCTGTGAATGAAGGAGGGTTAGGGACTTAGGGGTAGGGGGAGCTGGGGCTAGGATGAAGGGTAGTTTAGTAATTTGAGATGGGATCATGCTGCGACGATCTTAAGATTGAACTATGCTAGCAATTATGTGTGTGATGGAAATTGAATCAGTTATTTATGGATGGGTGTAGTAGCTAATACAAGCTCATAACTAATTCAATATTAACTGGGATCATGTGTATAATTAATTACAAATCATAGAATTATAAAAGGGGAGAAGTATTTCTTGTGTAATAGGATATGGGAATTAACCAGCCAGCTTCTATTCAGACAATACTGTCTGATATTAGCATTCCATAATAGAAACTTAGTCATCTATAT